GTACATTTTTGCTACAATTTATCTACATTCCATTATAATTATTGTATGTTATACATTGTAGTTAAATTGTAGTATAATGCTATATTGAGCCCTTTTGGTATTGCACACATCTTAGTTAAATTGTAGTAGAACTGTGGCACTTTGAATAAAATTACCAACTAACTATATTTTTAATCATTAGGTTGATGGAAAATTAGATGATTCTAGGAAGGCTGTATTTGAGGAACTCTCAAGCCTTCGAGAGTTCATAGATGATTCCGTGAAGAGTGTTATGAAATTCAAATCAGGTGGTGATCAAGTGCATGCAAGCACAAGCAATACAGGTATCTACAGAATGCCGACAAACATATCTACAAATTTCAAGACAGCATTATATAATTATATTTACCCTTTTTTCACTATGTTTTGCAGTTGCAGTTTCTCCAAAACATGTTCAAGCACATGTTGACTTATATCCTGATTTTCAAGGAGCAGCTGGGGCAGATAAAGCAGGTATACTATCATACTTTCATTATAATAAGGTTACAAAGAAAATTTTTATAATTCACATTTTAACTACAAATTCCTACATATATCTACAATTTACATTTTGTAAATTATTCATTCAAGCTGAAGTTTCAACAGAACATTTGCAAGCACATGTTGAGGAAGAACCAGAATTTGAAGAAGTAGCTGAGGTACAACAAGCAGGTATAATATCATAAGCTCATTATATTCACTTTTATATCCACAAATATTGTATTACTACATACATCTACATTTATCTACAGAAGCTGAAGTTTCTCCTGAAAGTGTGCCAGCACTTGTTGAGGAAGAACCAGAATTTCAGGAAGGAGCTGAGGTAGAAAAAGCAGGTATAGTATCATAATATACTTTTGAATAGATAATGTTGCTTATACAATTTTACATTGCTATTAAGTATGTAAAATTTTTATGTAACAGATATTGAAGATAACATTGCACAGTCCCCAATTCACGGTGTGACTGTAGCAGCTCGGACAGAACAAATGATTGAGAATCCGGTAAATGAAAGTGAAGATGGAGAACATGTGAATGAAGTTGTTCCTGAAGTTTCAGGCATTGACAAGAAGGGTGTGACATTGGATGACTTTGAGTTGCCAGACAACTTAACACAATTGGTTATGTGTGGCGAGCCCATACCGGATGAAGCAACCCCTATTCATCCGATAAGAACCAGGCAACCGTGGAAACATGCACGATCACCTTTCACACCTCTATATAGTTCTGGAGGCAGCAGCTCTGTTGGACGTAAATTTTTCTACCTCAAGCACCCCTTCACAACTGTTATAGGTGAAAATGTAGATGCTGATTTGATAGACAGGTTCACCACCTGGTTATACCATCGTAGTGACAAAGTATCTAAGAGGTATGAATGCTTAATTTTACACTTTCATTTCACAATTTTTAAACTTAAAATATGTAATTCATTCTGTCATTTTTTTTGATTTGATATTTATATGTTATTACAGGAGGAAGGAATACTTTTCCAAAAAGGATAACCAAATCAAGCCTTGGTTAGACCTTGGTTGTGAAAATGTGGATAAGAAGGACTGGTTTTATTCCCTTGCTCACCCAGGACAAGTCATCAATAACACGGTAAGTATAAAGAATAGCTTCATTCACAATATATGTTTTGTCTTCAGCTGTATAGTGTAATTGTAGTTATATTGTAGACAAGAGATATAGGTGACCAAGCCTTTTACTGTAAATTGTAGATATAATGTAGACATTTCATATAAATGTTGTTTCTGATTATTTATAGTGTAATTGTGCTTTTGATGGACCTTATGTCTCATATTTGATGATGATTTGTATGTACAAATTGGATTTTTGGTACTTTGGACAGAATTGGAATCTCTGTGTATCATAATTGTAGTTACTTTGTAGTTAAATTGTAGAGCAAGTTATTTTGACTTATAATATT